GATCAAGATAGTGCAAATAATCTGATCAGAAATATACAGTTCACACTTAGTGAATTGAGAGAATGATGAGACAGCGAAATCCTGAATTTATCCAAGTATTTTCATTACAAAATAAGACCGTTTGGCAGAAAGGGAAAACCAATCAAAAGTGAAAATGTCTCTCAAAATATAACACATTTACCAGGATTAAAAGAACTGCCCACACAATATAACGGAGCCTCTAGAAAGTTGGAATGTTTTCAATGCTAAATAGAACATTAATTGTAGAGTTGACAAATATTAATGAAAAATATCTTAAATTACACCAGAGATCGATGCCAAACGAAAATGATTGGAATAGAGACACTTTGGACTTTACATCTGTGCGGCTTGCATAAATTATCACATACAAATACGCAAGATTTGTGGACTACTGATGGCCCAAGGCGATGGCTTCTGGAGTACCTTTGCAAATAAATGCAATTACCTCCACAACTTTCTTAAGAAAAACTGAATAATTAAGAGATGAACATAGCTGAAGTAAAGGAAGGGTTTAAAGGTACCAGAGATGAATAAGAAGTCCACACAAGGGACGAAAACTTCTTTCAGCTTTCAACTTCACTTAGGTAGAGGTCAAAGACCTCCCGCTGCAGCAATTTTAAAAGAAAAAGAGGTATCAGTTAAGGCGATTTCCTGCACGTGCTGCGTGAATGGAATAGAAACAGGTCGAAAAAGCATGGGATGGGAGGCAAAGTCCTCCACGCCTCAGGAAAGGTTGTAATGGCAACTCGAAGAGGCGTGGAGTTCGCTAATGCCTTGGGGATGGGCAGGGGAAGGAGGCTACTGATGGATCAGGCATTGCAATTTTATAAAACACAGTGTCATATAAAAGATTTAATTTTCTTCTCAGGTGTTTACTGTTAGACAATGTGACCAATCGTGAAGCTCGAAAAAAATTGGACAAACTGGCGGCCGGGAGAGAATTTTTTTGCCGATTTCAATGAAATTTGCCAAAAGATATACATTATAGGTGAATATGTTACTATCAACGAAACATTAGAGAAATTTCGAGGGCAGTGTTCCTTTCGTCAATATATACCCAGCAAACCAGTGAAATATGGAATGAAAATATTTGCTTTATTAGATTCAAAAACTTTTCACAGCTATAACATGGAGCTATAACACAGGACAACAGCCGGAAGGTCCCTTTAGAGTTGAAAATTCACCATTTGAAATTAAAAATGCCTGTGCACACCTTTGTTTGGATCAGGCAGAAATGTAACAATGGATAATTGGTATACGAGTTATCCTCTAGCAAAAGAACTTTTGTCAAAGAAGCTAACTATTATAGGAACCCTGAAGTAAAACAGGGCTGAAATTCCCACTGAGTTCGTTCAAACAAAAACTAGGAAAGTTTATTCTTCTATATTTGGGTTCCAAAAGAATGCAACACTAGTGTGCCTAAAAAATCAAAATGTGTAGTTTTGTTATCTACAATCCATTGCGATGATGACATTGATGAAAGTGATGATACGAAGAAACCAGAAATAATTCCCTTTTATAATGCAACAAAAGGTGATGTAGACAAAAATGATGAAATATCATCATTATAAAGCTCGAAAAGCCAACAGATGGCTGATGGTTGTTTTTTATTGTGTGTTGAATGTCGCTACAATAAATGCCCGAGTTGCCTTTTTGTCAACATAGACCCCTCCCTTACAATATACAATATCAAAATAGGAGGAAATTTCTAAAACATTTACAGCCCCACATAGAGATAAAATGCTTCCTAAAGTGCTTCATGAAAGCATCAATAATGCAACTTCTAGTGGATCAGAAGAACGCCATTAAAGAAACCAAAACTCGACAAAGGCTGATGTGCTATGTGTCCAAGGTCCAAAGACAATAAACTACAATTTCTTGCAAAAATGTGATAAATTTCATGTAAAATTCATTCTTCCTATGTTTGCCAGAAGTGTATGTTAGCTTCTGATCCCTGATTAGGTATGTAATTATTTTGAACGAAATTTTTTCTTAAATATTGAAATAAGTTTTAAAATTGAAATAAGACAAGGGGATTCCCCGAGTTGAGCCAGATCAGGAAATGGTGCCATGCATACCAGTTGCTTGGCTCATTGCTTGTTACTCAAGTGAATGCTCATATTTAGAGACGAATTTTTTGCTCACACATTCTCACGTCTCATATCTCAAATTTCTCATAAATAGAGTTGCTCGTATCTCAAGGTTCCACTGTAAGTTGATGGTTGTGCTGGATATATTGATGAAATTTTTTAAAAAATATTTGGCATGAAATTATTACCTTAGTTCTTAGCTCACATCGTTAAAAAACATTCAATTGGTTTCTTGTTTTCCATACTAAATTATTGACTTGACTAAAGCCTGCTTCCACTAGGTAAGAAGAAAAGGCAGTTTTGTTTGGATTTACTTACATTACAGCGATTTAGTTGGAAACTCTAGTTGTGTTTTAGTAATCTCAAAATCAAGTGTTGCACCAGTGCATGAAATTACATTACCTAGGCTGGAATTTTTTGCAGTGCTTGTAGGAGCTATATTATTTCAGTACATTCGAAACAACTTCAAACTTCCGAAGGATACTAAATTTTATTTCTGGTCTGATTCAATGATTATTCTTCATTGGATCAAGGGAAATTCTCAAAAATTGAAAGTGTTTGTGAAAAACAGGTTGAAGAAACAAAAACTCTTTCTAATTCAGATTGGTGGAATCACTGTTTTGGGAAAGAAAAACCCATGGATTTGCTGCCTAGAGAAGGCAACTTAGTTGCTCTTAAGGACAAGGAACTACTCAGACATTGGTGGAATGACCTACCTTGGATAAGAAAAGACAAAGATCTGAATCTGAAATAGAAAATTCTATTACTTTTTCGGTAGGACATGAATCAGAAACACTTTTTGACATATGGAAATTCAATGGACTTAGCAACGTAATACAAATCACAGCTTGGATTCAATTCACAAGAATATTTAGCTTTAACTAAAAGGAAGACCATTGCCAACAAATTCAATCATTAGGCAATTTAACCCTATTCTAGATGAAAGAGGAATAATTTAAATCAGAGGGCATCTTCAGTATGCTAATATTTCCCAGCAAAAGGCACATCTAGTTTTGTTGCCAAGTTCTTATCACTTGTCTGATCTTGTCATTAAGGACTGCCATGAAAGAGTAAAACATGAAGGTGTAGTAGAAAGTCTAACTGGTCTTAGGAAGAAAATGTAGATTTTAAGGGCCAGACAAAGAATTAAGAGCATTATACATAAATGCCTTTTATGCCAGAAATTTCAAACGAAGGCAGTGACCCAGTTTACTGCACCACTGCCAGCTAAGAGAATATCAGAAGCATATCCTTTTCAAATGACTGGATTGGATTACTTAGGACCATTACATCTTAAAGATCAAGATACCACGAAGAAGTATGTAACTATATACTGCTCTTCACTTGCACTGTAACTACAGCGATACATTTGGAACTGACTTGTAACTACTCAGACATTTCTACAAACTTTTCAAAAATATGTTGGAAGAAGAGGCATATGCAGTGTGATCCATAGTGATAACGCAAGGATATTACACAAGGCAAACCAAGAACTGGATCTGCTTTGGAACATCGAGAAGTTATCTATAACATGGAAATTTATTGTCAAAAGAGCCACCTGGTGGTGGTGGTGGTGGGGGTTTCAGAATGCTTAGTGAGGTTAGTTAAGATGTCTCTGAAGAGAATCTTAGGAAGAACATCAGTTTCATTTCAAGAACTGGAAGCTGTATTGATAGAGGCAGAGGTAGTTATCAACTCTAGGCCTCTCACTTATGTTGTCAGTGATCCAAATGAACCAAAACCGCTAACATCTGGATATTTCTTGACTGGACAATGATTATTAACCCTCCCTCAAGTTACTAAAGGAATTCCTTCTTCTTCTTCCAACTTTTAAAGATGAGAAGATACCAAGAAAATTTACTTAATCAAATTTGGAAAAATGGAAGGCATATGGAAATTATTATGTCATATCTTCTTGAGCTTAGGTCAGCTGACCAATCACAATCAGTAAACCAGCCCACAGAAATTTGACAGAACACTATGGTTTTGATAAAAGATGACAACACAGCTAGACTTTTACGGAGGATGGGTATTGTGACAGAATTACATTCTGGACGTGTCCGTGCATTTATTGTGAGACTTTCAAATAGAACTTGCATTAGGAGACCTGTTATGTTCTCTGGAACTATCAGTCAACACTTAATGAACATTTGTGTCTCCTGACAAATTTTTGGCCCCCAGAGGATGTTATGAACTCAGCCGATAGATGGCGATAGTGATCCTTTGAACTCAGAACTGATTATTTGTTGAGTTTTTAGAATGTAGCTAGATGTGTAAGATGTGTCTTGTCAAGTGTGAATTGTCCCTCATTATAATGTCAATAAAGGATTTAAAATCTAAATTATTTTAAATTACACTTACCAGAGCTCAGAAGATTAAGAACTATATAAGAGCTTTTATTTATAACTGCTTTATTTTAATAACCAAATAGAGTAGCTGAATCAAGACAGAGATGTTTTTAATGAAAGAAACCCAAGTTTCTTTGATCAAATGTTCTTTGCTCAAAATGCAACATTGCACTGTATCATCGCACAGATGATACAGAACATTGCACAAATACTGTAACTCTCCATTTGCTTATAACATGAACTATATTCTCTTAGGTGATGTTACTTCATACATTTTCTCCCCAATTAAACAGTGCACAAACACTATCTATTGGAGAGAGCACAATACTGCAAGTTTCACTATGTGACACGAGATTCCCAGAATTTTATTAACAGATATTAGCATACTGTTTATTGCAAACAATCCTCTAAACAGTCAGATAAAATGTAAACTTTTTAAAATTGCTTATTAATACCTGTTTAAAAAATAAAAAAATAAAAGTTCATGTTATGAAAAATAGCTATTAATAGTCAGATAGTTATGAATGTTGCATTCTTTCACCTTTTGATTGACACTGAGGAAATTTACAAATGATTCTTCATTTGGCAATAGCATAAGCAATGCATTACCAGTCTTTCCTATGCGAGCAGTTCGACCACAACGATGTACAAATGAACTGGAGAAGGGAAAAAAAGTCTGTTTTAAACCTTGAAATAAAATATCAGGACATAATAAATTTAATAAAAAAATATATTTACAAATGAAGGCTACATATTAAACACTGTAATTTAAAATGTGTTACAATAAATAATACTGGAGGAGGGGACACATAACTTCAACTGATATTTCAAATCTTCAGATACTATTTTTTATTCATTTGAACCAAGCAAAATTAGAAAAACCAAAATAAAAGCTCTTTACAGCATTGAAACAAAATATATTTCTTTCAGAATAATTATAACATATTTTTGGAAATTACTGATTAAAACACAGAGATAAAAATAGCAAATAGTAAAGCAGTTACAACAAAAATCAAAGATTTGTGATAGTGATTAAAATTTATTTGGTAGCATCTAGAAAATATAATGACACAAAAGTAAATGAAAATGAATAATTAATATATGTATAACTTAAGCAAATTAAGCAAACAACATAGCTGTCATAAATCTACACACAGAAATATACCATTAGACAGAATATAATAGTATAAGACAAAATTTGGATAGTAAAAATTTTGATAAAATAAAAAATTAATTTTGAAAATAATTAGTGGGTACTTTTCTGTTTTGCCGGCGCAAGCGATAAAGTCGCCAATAATGGTACAACTGATGCCAAACGGATTATTCTTCGCTGATAACCTTTTACGCCTCATTTTCAAAACGAGTCGCAGCCATTTTCTTATCAGATTGATTGTTTCTTTCAATACTGGCATACAATTACATAGAATTTTCACCAAAAGATAGTTAAATTTTATACCCCTTAAGACCATTCGCGTGGTAATTAAGTCAATTAGAATGCAATTCACACCGCTCACCCGAAGGCGAAAATATAGAAAAGGCAAACATTCAAAGGGTTAAATTCATCATTCTAACGAGAATGCATTAGCGAAGTAAAGCACTGCGGTTTTACATCATTTCTGAGTAAAGCTATTCGTACGAATTGAAATAATTCTTGCATTTAAACTTATGTTCCGAAATTAAGATTTAACTTGAAATTAATGTGGATAATTATTGAGAGCATTAGATTTTGTAGAGCAGTTTACGTGAGATGAGATGGCTTGGGGTCACGTGATATGAACCGGCAAATCACGATGTTGAACCATGAAAGCGTAGTAAATTCTTAAATTAATGTCTTTTTACAAATTTATTGTCTTTATTTATTGGCTTCTTACAAAATTTTAAGCGAGATTAAAATGTTTATGCCTTCAAAAAAAGAATTCTTAGAACTAACATTTTTTTAATATTTTTTATGTGTATACTTATGTTGTCGCCAATAAAGTCTGCTTGGCAAGATTTGCGCCGGTGAAACGGAAAAGTACCAATTAGTGTTTTATAAATTTGATGCAATCTTGACACCTTTAAAACTGCATTTCTTGACAAAACAATTATTTTCTTGCAGACAAACTTTGATACAGACAGATAAATTAACATTAAGCATGCCCACTTTTTAATACCTGACAAAAAAAAAATGTAGTAGTGGACAATAAGCTTGAAGGTGATAAAAACAGAAGGAACATGTAGTTTAAAATGAATGTTTGTTAAAGTTACATTTTCATCTTTTTTTTTTTTTCCACTTTGGCTAATTTTTAGTTTGTTTGTAAACTGGTTATTATTAATGTCTGAAGCATTAAGTTCTTGTATCATTAGCATAATGCAAGAACATGAGAAAACTGAATTTTTAAATGATGTCATTTAGAGAAATTTATAATAAGTAGCTATTGTTTTTAAGAGAGAATGGGATTTAAAGGTGAGAATTTTGATTTACATACATTTTTATCTTACACATATAATAATGCAAAATAAAAAAAAAAATTAATACATTTAAAATCACTCTATATTCAATTTGGAATAAACCACATGGGGGGGAACTGAAGCACAGGGGCAAACTGCAAGAAATAGGACGGCAAATTATGCCAAAACCAAAAATTAAATATGAAATTTACACCTTTTGCTGTATCATCATCAGGGGGGCGGTGGAACAAAGAAGTAAATAGATAAAAACAGCCTGTTTTTGAACTAACAAAGATACAAATTCAAATTTAGAACTTAAAAATAATTTAATTTCATTTCTTCCATTTTGTTAATAAATTTAATTATTAATAATTCCATTTCATGCCATTTTGTTAATAAAAGAGATAGAAAACTATTAGACAGTCTAATCTAAATTAAAACCAATGTTAGAATTTTGATAAGAATGCCTAATTCAACTGTGTTAAGAACATCCAAATTATACCACTATAATGGTTTAGGTATAGTTTATCATGAAAAATAGCAGTCTGGGGTGAAAATAATTTTTAAATTAACAACTGTATTTTTAGCTAGCTGTTTTTTGATGAAAATGTGTGGAATTTTGTTTATCTTTTAGTATTTTAATTAATAAACTAAATTCTTTTGTAAAATTATTGCTGTTATTACAAATATGTTTTATTCTTTTTGTTTGATTAATACTAGTGTTTGCAATAATTTTTATGGAGATATTACAATTCCAATTAAATAGATTTAGATTAACTGTTTTAAAACTGAAAAGTCTTCTTTTATCAAACAAAGTAATATTATTGAGACTGTGAATTTGTGGGTCAAGATAACCTGCTTTGGTGGTTTCTTCTTTGTTAGTTTTATTAAACTTAATGCATTTAGGATAGATATATTTTTTTTTCAGTTCACTGTAAATATTAATGAAAAATATATAAATAATTATAAACATAGGATAAAATTAGGGCAGTAAAAATTTCAAGAGAATTAAAAATTTTTTAGTGTTTTATAGTCTTAAAAGATATAATAATTTTCAAACAAAAAAACTTAAATTTATGTTCAAAAACTATTAACTATATATGCTAAAGAAGAAGTTATCAATGACAAAATAATCATCTGGGATACGTAAAAGGACTTTTCAAATTTACTGGATGGAAATTTGGTTCTTGTATTTCGAAAATAAACTACATCACACTACAGTTAAATCTTTCATCAATGAACACTCACACAACTGATGTTCTATCCATTATTAGAGGGTGTCTGCTAAATCTGTGTGCATTGGTTTACTTCAAGAATACTGGGATGAAAAAACTATCGACTGATGGATAGTGTTTGTTAACAGAGGTTCAGCCGGATATAACAGAGCATTAAAAAAAAAAAAAGAAAAAAGAAAAGAAAAGAAGCATTACAATTGAAATAGTTTAATTTTCATAGTTTATAAAAAATTTTCTCTGCCTCTTCACTGTTCTTTCAAGCATTCATACTTTTATCTCTTTAATAATCTTTCGGTCTTTAAGAGGTACAAGAAATGAGAGATAAAATTTTAATTTCCTGAATTATTTCACATGTCCTTTTTAATGGTTTCAAATGTTTTTGTTTACTTTTCTAGCTACCAGATAATAGAACTATACAGTTTTATCAGCAGCAGAATTAAGAGCAAGTGTCAATTTCCAGAGAAATAGTATATTGTTGTTAATAATCACATTCTTATATAATTCTTTTTTTTTTTTTTAAATGGCTTGCAGACGGTATATTGATTCTGATCCCAGTTAATTTCATTTGAAATCTAATTCAGATGATGATTTTGGGTACCATTTAGATGTTTCAGATCTAAACGGAAGTGATCTAACGTCTAAGTGTATTTATTATACACTATCAAATTTGGATTAATAATTTCATAATCATTTATGTAAATACTAGAATATAAATAAAATTTATAATTCAAGATACCACTAGCTATTCTGTGTGTTATATTTTTAGTTAATGAGAATTGATTTCTAAAGTTTGACTTCTGCCATACAGAAAGCAAACTTTACAGGTAAGTTATTTATTTAAATAAAATTTTTTACATTAATTTTTAGGTAATTTTGTACGTGAATGGTGCTATTACGTTAAAAAAGATATGTATGTATGAAAATAAGCATAATTGGCACTTTTAAATCCATAATCCTGAAATAAAATGAGCCTGAAAGGGGTTAAAAATAAGCCCCTACCCACATGTCAAAGGCTTATTCTCCAGGAAAGGCAAAGAATTTACGAGAGTGGGTTAATTTTTTGCTCCTGAAAGTACTAAAAGTGACTACCCTGGTCATACGTGTATCAAGCTAATGACTCCAGAGCTCCTGTAGACTTTTTGAACGATGGAATTTAAATGCAGGGAACCACTACTGTCACTTGTATAAAGGAGCCTTATGTTTATTGTTACTTTGTCATCAGATTGTATTCTGGGAAAATTTCAGTTTTACGGTTAGAATTATACTGGCAGGGCATCACAATCAGAAAATCTTGGACTATTCCATTTTTATTTCCAAAACTACATTTTCCTGTTAAACTTTCCTTCCATATCCTCATACTGTTTCTAGAATTATCACTATTCTCCTTTGTGACGCTTTAATTGTTTTATCTTTTTCCATTAGAGCTAAAAAAGGAATGGTTTTAGTATCTATCATCCCTTGAAATAGCACATTATATTTATAATCAGAGCTTTTTAATATTATAATATTATTTCTTATTACAACATTCACTGTTATTTAAATGGCCCTAAGAAAACTCCTGTTAATAGTTTGCCTCAAAGTGGCAGCCCCTGGAACACTTCTCACTGTAAGCAACCTATATGTCCCCAGGGATAGGACTATCAGCTACTTGGTGATGGTTTGCTCTCTAAATCCAAAAATTCTAAAAACTCTAAAATTAGACCAACTTCAATCACAGTGCAGTTAGAGATATAAAGCATAATTTAAGAGAACCCAAACAGTTTCCAAAATAGAATATTTTACTAACTATATCAACTATTTTAAATTAGCCACGGTGTTGGCATGATGGTAAAGAAACCAGCTGCCATAGTCTTGAGCCGAGGTTTGAAACCTGGAAAACACATGAATGTTTGCATGTGTAATGTCTTTGTAGCATTGGGGATACTTAAAACATTATCAAGTCCTGTCTAGAGCTTAGTGGCAGGGAAGAGGAATAAGAGTCTTAGGGATCTGTTTTCCTGGGCATCTTTTCTTAATAATGGGACAGGGCTTCTCCCTTTCTTATGATGTATTTCAACTGCTCTCTATGGTACACTCTGAGCAATGTTTTTGGTGAAGAAAGAGCTACACAGCAGATGAGGTTTGGCCCTTCATAATAAATGCAGTAAGTGTCTGGGCATTTGAATATTCTAAACTATCTTCATGAAGAAATTAGTGAGTCCTCATAATAAAACATACAGCATTTCTCTATAACCATGCTGAGGTTGATTTTTAACTAATTTTTAAAATTTCTATTTTTATCTTTTGTTTAAAGGGGGGGGAAGTTAGATCCTTGGACGAAAAATTTATATGGTAATGGTAGCTCTTACCTTGCACAACTAGGTGGATCAAATTGAATTACCCAGTGGACATCAGGAATATCTACACCTCGAGCCATAACATCTGTGCAACATAAAATACCCCTGAAATAAGAAATTATACTATACTAAATAACAATGTAAAAAAGAAAAACAAGTTAGTGATCCTGCATTTAATAGCTGAAATTAAAATCATGCATAACAGTTTTTTCGCAGAAGGATGAAGACATTTAAAAAATCGCAACATACTTTTTAGCATAAAACAAATAAGATGAATACAAAATCAGATCTTTTAATCTGAATTCTTATGGTCCTTTCATTCACACAATAATAAAGAAAAATACAGTATGTCAAATTATTTTTATCACTCCTGTTGAAAGTTTAACTGTTAACTTCCTAAACTGAGACCAACAATACTTTCAAATGCATAAACAATGGCAAAACTCCAATTAACAGACTAAAATAATAAACTAACAAAAATTGTAATATAAACAAAAAAATTTGCTTATATATTACCATTTTTTACATGAAAAATTTCAAATAATGAGAGAATAAACTTCCCCTTACTTTTCATAATTTTTGAAATCATAAAATATTTGATTTCGTTTTTTCTTAATTTTGCCATGCATTCCAATTACTGGAACATTCTTAATCAACCTATATAAAAGAATTATATATCAGATAATATAGGATTACAAGATTTATGATCTTCACAAATATTAAAACAAAGTTAGCTTAACAATAAATGACAGCTAATTTACTTAATTGTTAAGCTATCATTAAAAAAGCTGTCATTACTTGTCAGATTTTAAACTTGCATTAAAAAAATTATGACACAAATTTTAATAAACACAGTTCTGCATTTAAACCTCCCTTTAACTTTTTTGAGCATCTCTAACAGAATTAAAATATGACTTTTATTTTTAATTATCACTCACAAATTTAGAAAACAAAGAATTCAGTTAACTTGTGCTAAGAAATTACTTTCAAAAGCACAAATTTTCTATTCATAACTTCATAAAAAAATTGATTAAATACACACTTTTTCCCCTAACCCACTAAGACTTCATTTGCCAAAATCTTCTCAATATTTTCAAAAAGAAGCAATTTTTTTTTAAATGTAATTGGTTTTTCTTTACTCAGTTATTTTATAAATGTAAAAAAAAGAAAGGGACAGTATTTAATACGGTCTACTTATAACAAACACTAACAAAGATACTCTTAGATCAAGCTAAAGATTTTTAAAAAATAATACTTTAAAGAAATGCTTGATTTCATCATTAGTATCTCTCATTTTACAGCATAAATTACAGAAGTTACAGGAAATTCATTTACATTAGGAATTAAAACTGTCTTAAGCTGCTTTAAATATATTTTGAATGAATTAATGAACACATTTTAAGTTCAGCCATCAAGCTTTGACTATGATGATAATAAATAACATCTGCTCTCACAGTTATTATTTTTTTAAACTTGATACAAGTATTGTAAAGTATTTCTTCTGCATAGAAATGCTATTTTTGTGTTTAAACAAAAAATACTTCTTGAAAATAATGGGTAATAAAGCAATTTAGAGAGTAGCGAAGTTAAAAAGATACAAAATATCCATCAGTTTCACATGGAGCATTTTGTTGCAGAATTAAATTCTATTTAAAAAAAAAAAGAAAAAGAAAGAAAGAAACATACTGTTTGTTTTAATCACAATAATTTGAAAGAAAATATGATAACAAATGTCAAAGTATTTAAAAGGCATCAATTACAAAATTTGCATTTTATTGAAAAACTTTAGATTTCTAAATTTTCTAAAATTTAATTATTCTAAAAAATAATAATAATAAAAGAATAAAAGATATTTTTTAAAATATTAAATGAATTTGAGTTATTAAAAGAAATTCAGCACTATCTTAATTGCACATGTTTCACTAAGCTTTACTAATTACCACATTTTTTCAAAAATATATAAAAATATTCCTTTCTATTTTCAGACTTTTATTTTAGCAATGAACAAATTTTTAAACTAAATATTACTGAAATTATTCAATATTGCTCAAATAAATGTTTTATAAAATGTCAAATGGCAAAGCTTTTATAAATTATCAAGCAAATGCTTATAAATGTCAGTATTAACAAGATTTTTAAAAGTATTAACTCAGATTTTCTAAGCATTTACATTTTGAAGGAATACCTCAGTTAATTTTTAAATCTCTTGAACTGGCCACTGCAAATATTGTATTAGCATAATCAATAAATTACAGTTATAACAAAATTTTTCACATTTTCAAGACATTTTTTCATGCTTTGAAACAGTATCTACCACCAGATAGCTTAGGGTAAAAAAAAACTTGGTAACTGTTGAATTACTAGACATCTTTATCCAAACAAGTCAGTGATTTACTGAGGAACAATTTGTAACCCAATTTCTATTGAGTTCGATTTTTGAGCTACTTTAGAGTTAAATTAAAATGCTGATTTCAAAACTGTAGTTAGTTTTCTTTACCAAGTCAAGTTTTTTCTTTAACCCTCTGATTGGTGCCAGGTGAATGACACAGTAGAAGACCAGCAGCAGCTGCATACTTGTCTAGACTAGTTCAGTTATGCCTGAGATACTGTAGTGAAATGTCATATGTCACTATGATATAGTGAAGCACATTGCAATGTGGAGGCCAAGTTTTGGTTTGTATACAAGGTTAGCAGTATTTAGTTTTTATTTATGTATAAACTTAAATGTTTCCTTTTGTCTCCCTCTGCTAGATCACGTTGTAAGTGCTTAAACAGCTCCAATTCATTTTCTTATATATGTGGCAGTTTTACCATTCCCAGTCAAAGGACAAACATTTGTCAGGCAAACCTATTTTGTCTATTTTAAAGTACTAAATTTCCATTAGGTATACCTGTTATATGGCAAGAGCCCAATGATCATTCAAGTGATTGTTACTTTTGTATAGTAAAAAATGTCAAGATATAAAAAGAAAAAAAAATGTAAAATAGTGTGTCCTAGTTTACCATCAGCTGTAGGCCCACTGCTTCAGTCAACTGAGCTCCCAATGCCAGTTTTCAAAGAAATACGCTCTTTGGAAATACAGGAATATGATTCTGAAGAATATCAAATTGACGCTAATGATGAAGATTTTGAAATTGAGGATGATTCTGTTTCTAAGGGATTTGACCAGCATGAGTTCCATGATTTGGCATGAGATCTAGGACTATCGAAAAAACCTTCATAGCTGTTAGCATCAAGACAACACAAGAAAAACTTGCTTGAAAAAGAGCTAAATTATTCTAAATTATTATTTGTATATTGTCATAGCATACATAGTTTAATAGAAAAGCTGGTAATTTCAGCCCATAACACAACTCAATATTAACTGTTCATCAGTAGCTCAAAGTGGAGCTTGAAGTGTGTCCTCCTTCACAATGGAAATTTATCTGATGCCCAACAGACCACTCAGTTGGTTTGAATATGGACAGAGTCATTGATTTTTTTTCACTAATCTAATTGACAGAGGATCATATGTATTGATCTTAAATGGTCTTGCTTCCTCGTTGGCCAGCAACACAGATATACCACATATCTCTGTTTTTTAAGCATGTGGGACAGCAGAACTAATGAGAAGCAATAGGTGCGGATGAATTTGCGGCCAAGATCTGACCTGAAAGCTGGTGATCCAAATATTTTACACCAGCGACTTGTTGATAGTAAGAACATTATATTTCCTCCACTGCATATAAAATTGGGTCTCCCGAAGCAATTTGTTAAAGATCTGCCAATTGAATGAGACTGTTTCAAGTGTCTCATTTCAGCATTTCATAGGCTGTCATTTGAAAAGATAATATATGGTGTGTCTGATGATCCACAGATTCGACAGTTCCTTAAAAATTACCAATTCACTGGGAAATGACAGAACTTCAAAAGAATATTGGTTGGCATTCAAAAACTTTGTCAAAGACTTTCTTGGAAATACATAAGCACAGAATTACAGCAAAATTGTTCAGCAACTTTTGGAAAGTTTCAAAACACTCGGTTGGAACATGAACATCAAATTGCATTTTTTACACAGCCACCTTGATAACTTCCCAAAAAATCTTTTTGCTGTCAGTGATGAGGAGGGTGAGTGATTCCACCAAGATCTGAAGGTCATGGAGGCATGGTACCAAGGTAGATTGGATGCAGATATAATGGCTGACTATTGTTGGAACATCAAGTGAGAATATCTACAGGTTAAACACTTCAGAAAAAGCTATTAGGTGAAATTTTTTTACTTAATATGTATGTTTACAATTTGGAAAGAAATCTTTGCTATTTGTATGAACAAAATTTAACTTGCAGTAACTATACATACCCTTTGTACGAATAAAACTATTATTTGTGAACAGTATATTTGGTAATTTTTTTCCTTTATAAGCATATAATGAAAGCATTTAGCAATAATAAAGCACAGATTAAATCACAGATGAACATAACTTTCAGGCAAGGATTTCCCCAGTGATATCCTGTTGACTCACTGTAATGAATGAATTTAGCAATATTGATGGAACTGATAGCTGAGGAGAACTGACAGCTTTAATATTCATTTTTATTTCAGTAAGGATGTTGCAGCCACAAACAGCTTGGTACACTACTTATGCCTCTTTCAAAATGTTTACATTTTTGATAGCTTTGTGGTAAGGAGAAAGTACCAGGCAGCAGTCCAGCTAGGATGAAATGTAGAAAGCAAGTGCATTTGTGTTCATGATGAAATCTTAATTCAGAATGAGTTAGTTTTGATTCTCAATACACCTGATTGGATAATTAATAATACTGAAAAATTATTATTGGCTGTTTTAGTTCCATTTACATCATCAGTGTTACGTAAAAGTCATATGACATGGGTTAGTCTTGAAATGATACAGTGCAGAAGATTATATTTTTAGAACACAGAGGGGAAATACCAAATTAAGCATTAAGGGGCTAATTCTAATTCAAATTATAATTTATCTTTTACATATTTTTTGTTAATCTTACATCTTTTCCCTCTAATTCAAGAAGAGAAAGGCTTAACAACAGAGAAGCCTTTTTAAAGAAAAAAAGCATTAAAGCAGTAGTAAATGAACAGAAATATAAATCACAAAATTTTGACCAACATAAGTAAATAACTGTTAAGTATAATTTTTGAATATATGATTTACAAAAAAAAATAAATATATAAACGTAACTTTTAGAGTCCTATTAAATTTTCCAGTATTTCAGTCTAAAAATCTTTCTGTTTTAGAGTCCACATAATGATAATTCTTCAGGGAAGGTTTTTGTTCTCACAGAGTATCACAAATAAAAACTTTTACCATCCATACTTTTACCCCAATTCATTTTCTTATATATGTGGCAGTTTTCTTATATATGTGGCAGCATATAAACTTTTACCATAAATAAATCCATTACTTATTCTAATTAACTGTAATAACTATAAAAATTTATGAAGCTAATTTGTATATTGACAAATTATATTTTAACATCATAAATATAGTAGGAGCAATATTTCATAATTATGATTTCAGTGTTAGTATCTGCCATTTGAATTTCTTATTTTACCAAACTGGAAGGCCCCACAGTACTTCTAAACAAGCATTTCCATTAATAGGGCATATCCACTTCAGCTAACTAGTGTGTCTGTTCTGCACCAGTGGCTCAAGGATGCTATCGTAGTTACTTGAAAAGGCCTCTTTTTCTTGCATAAGGTAACTAGAATTTGTGAACTGCACTAATACATTCTATGATAAAAAATATATAATAATGTATACGGTATTTCTCCTGCCTTCCTAGCATGCCTTCATGGTGTAGTGGTTCTGCACTCTGGGCCAGTATTCCAGAGGTCTGTGGTTCGATTCCCGGCAAAGGCGATTGCTCATTTTTCCTCTTTACTGCTTCCAAAAAATACTTAATGTCTCTACAATGGCACCCGAACTAAAAGGGTTGTGGATGATGACTCCCCACACCCAATATTTGGTAATTGGGTCCCCTATAAACCCCAGTTGCCCTTTAAAAGGGGGAGTATATAAGGTATTTCTCCTGCCTTCCTAGCGTGCCTTCGTGGTATAGTGGTTCTGTACGCCGGGTATTCCAGAGGTCCATGGTTCAATTCCCACCGAAGGCGATTGCTCATTTTTTCATCTTTCCTGCTTCTAAAAAATACCTAATGTTACTACAAATAATAATATATAAAAAATTATACTCAGTCAAAAATGAAAGCCTTCAACATTATCTTATATGAAAAGGGCAAAACGAGCAATTGTATTCCCTCAACATATTCTATACTTAAAAGACAATCATTCATAGATTTTCAACATTCAATTAACATTTCATTTTTAATTTCATACTATGTATCAATATCAGTTTCACTAAATTTTTTATAGTCACTTCATTCACAGAATAATTATAAAATTCTTAACATTAATTCAAACATCTTTAACTCAAAAACATATTGATTTATGATATAACAAACTTCCCTAAAAATATTAATTCTTTACTTATTTAATTAAAATAGTTGTTAAAATTTATATTTCTAATACTATAAAAATTTTTATTTAATAAATTACTTAGTTATGAAAAAAATTAAACAACTCTATCAGCAAAATATATATAACAAAATGCACCAACAAAATTACTAAATTCAAAACCATTAAATGAAAATATCAGAATATCTTTTTTTCCTCCTTCAAAACAATAAAATCAAATTGTAAAAGTTTTAACTTAAACACTTTATACAAATTTAAAACTCACTGCACCAGCATCATTTTTGTTTCATACAAAAAAAAAAAAAAAAAAAAAAAAAAAAACAGTAATTTAATACACTTTGAATGAAAGAAAATAATTGGATAAGCATCTATTAGGCTGAATATTAAAACACAGAAGCAACTAAAAAGCATTTCCCACAGTTCAACACATGCAGAGTGAATGGCAAAAAATGAAAACAGAGTGATAACTGGAATGCTGAATCATTTTGCAGTTGATTTTAAACACTCCTATTGAGTTTGAAGCACTGATTAAACCACAAATGAACAGAACTTTCCGGCAAGGATTTTGGAGACAGGTATGTTCTTGTCGATTCATTGTAATGAAAGCAAGCCATTATTGTAATAAAAAAGAGTTAAAAGTAGTAATGGTATAGAAACATTAATAATGTAAATGTAGAAAGTAGAGCTTTGATTATGAACGTAGAAACTAAACATAGTTTCTATGTTCATGATCAAATTTCTATGTTCATAATCAAAGTTCTGTGCAATCAATGTTCCAATTATATCTTCATTTTTATTTCAAACATGTGGCCACAAACAACTAGGCACACTATTTGTGCATACATTCAAAATGTTCACACTTTTGATAGCTTCGCAGTAGGAAGAAAGCAATAGTCCATCTAGGCCAAAGTGTAGAAAGCATGTGCAGTTATGTTCAGGATGAATTCTTAAAGAGTTAATTTTGGTTCTCAATGCATTTAATTGGATAATTAACACCGCTGTAAAATTATTATTGGCTATTTAACTTCTAGTTCTATTTACATCATTGTTATGTAAGAGTCATAAGATATGGATTACTCTCAAATGATGCAATGCAGAAAAAGAATACCATTTTTAGAATAGGAAATACTAAATTAAGCTTTCATGGGCAATTGCTAATCACAAAATCTGGTTATCTAAATGGTCTAAAAGTTACAGATTTTCCTTTCACATTTTTATTACCTATGGCTCCACTTAATATTCAGAAGAAAGAATAATTAACTCTAAGAATAATAATTAACTGTAATTGTAGAGTAATTATTGAAATAAATACCCTAAAAATATAAAAATATTTACTTATAACAGCTGTTACTACTGTCAATCATTATGAAATCAATCATGATTCATTATTTGCCATAATTATCAATTATAAACAAAACTATCACTGATTATCTGCCAATGATTATTAACTATAAAGAATGATAAACTATTACATTTAACCCTAGTTTTTGTTAAACATTAAAATGTCACCCAAATTTTTGTGTTAGGTATACATGTAATATATACAATATAACTTTATATAATAACTTTAAAATTATTTTGATGACTAGGCGATAGCTGTAACAGATTTGAGCAGTTGTTTCTCTGCATAGTTTGAATGATGCGTAACGAAGGAGAGACTTGTAGACAGATGCGGCCAAACTGAACATGATTTTTTTGTGGGCTACAAACCAATTACTGAAACATATTCTTCTTCACACATCATAATGGGCGCAAGATGCAACCCACAATTTTATGTAGCATATCACATTTTAGATAATGGTGTAGTTAACAGCAAAATAAAGCAAACAGAGTCCTGAACCAAACAGCGGCCAGGAAGAAGAGTTGAAACAAAAAAGATATTAATCTGTTATGTGCTTTGGAATATAATCTGATATTTTATATCAGAAGACATTTTATATCAGATTATATTCCAAAGCACATAACAGATTAATATCTGGATGCCGAATTAAGATTTCATCAATATCTGCAGAAAAGAGATTAGATGACACATCTGTTTCAGAACTACAGAGAGTAAAGATTATGTTAGAAAAGTTACTTTGCTACTTTTAGAATGAAGTTAAAGGCCTATTGTTAATTTATTATTAGATAGATAGGTAGATAGCTTTACATACATATAGTAAAAGAACAAAATAAAGTTGTTGATTTATTATTAGACAGGTAAATAGTTTTACATACATACAGTAAAAAAACAGAATAAAGTATAAGATTAGATGGTACTATTCGATTTTGAGGGCCGTAAAAAATCGTCAAACTATTGTTGATGCCAGTGCTGCCAAAATTAATTGCGGCAACCCTAATGCATGAAAGGAAGTATAATAGTAAATAACTATCTAAGATTGATGTTTTAATTTAGATGAAAGGTTAATTTCATATAATACTTTTTTATTATTATAATTTATATAAAAAAGGCTAAACATTATCAGAATCAATGTTCCGTTTTACTTTCTTCGGGAACATGCAAGGACCTGACTTGGAACAGAGAGCTTACTAAAGCTATGTTCAATAATTGTGGGAAGTAGACAGGATACACAAGAAGGGTATACAAAACCTTTTATTTTTCTCTATTTACAATAACTTCCGTACTTCGGAATACAAAGACTCACTACTTGTGGTCTAAACGCAAGAATATAAAAATAAAACTAAACTCTAATTTAACTTTAGAATAATAAACGTGGAAGATTGGCCTTATATTAACAGGAAGCGTATGTAGTACAGATAACTGAGAACACTACAATACGTTTAAAAGTTATCAAGAGGATTAAAAACCTCTGGCCTGGAAGGCAAACAGGAACTGCGTAACTTCTAAGGTAAGCGGCCTGCTTCGAACTGCTTCCTCTCTCTCGCTTGGCAAAAGACCACAACTTAAGTACTTGGCGTTCGCCAGGCAAACTTTGCATAAAAACCTTCACGCTTATAATTCTGGCCGGAAGTAGAAAATAAGAAGTGATAGTAAAGATTTAAAATAAAATAAACGTTAGTAAAACTTAAGATCCTTACACGCTGATGAGCTGCATTACGTATTATAGAAATGACTGTCAATCAAATGACTACGTATTAAACAACTACGTATTACGTATTAAACAAATGACTGTCAATCTTATTATATCATCAGTGTTTGGTAACTTTCCCTGTGAAAATAAAATTGCTAGAAATATGAGTGAAAAGACATGCAACAATGAAAAGACTTTTTAACGGAAAAAATAGGTCCATGTGTACATAGATAAAGTCAAGGGTGTGTGCAGTGCCATTTTTGTGCAATTCTGGGAATTTTTTTTCAAGTGAAAATAGGTTGATGTGTACATGGATGCCAAGTATGTGCAATTCTTAAAAACATGTCAAGCAGTGTGTGATTCTGCACTTTACCCAAAATTCTATTGCACACTTTTCGTCATGGGCAATTCCCAAATTGTTAAATCCATAGGATATCAAAAAAGAATTTAAAATCAAAAAAGGATTTAAAAATTAAACTAGTATTTCATATTTCAATGGCGACTTAAGAAATATAGTGCTATATAAACTTACGCAATCTGAAATCGTGCGTACGCTAGATTTGGTGCGCTGTTAAATGCGCACGTTTGCTAGATTTGGTGCTTTTACACATACATTTTCGCTGCAATTTTTTTACAGTCCTCAAAATGGAATAGTACCAATTAGACTAAGAGAATAAAAAAGGTATAATATTCAATTCATAATAAGCCTCAAGAATTAATAACTTCTTAAGGGAAGTGAAAATAAAAACAAACTTAGAATACCAAATTATGTATAATCCTAAAAAGAGCACAAAAGGTCTCGAGTTTTTTAATACATTAAGCTGCCTTTTATAGAGAGAGAAAACAATAGTGAAAGGACAGTAATTTATATCGAGGATCCTTTGCTTCAGTTCTTCCAGGTTTCCTCTCTTACGCATTTTTAATACATTGCATTTGGGGCTTATCTCTTTGTTTAGTATAAATACTTATCCTTTCATCATTCTGATTAATAAGGAATAGCTTTATACAAAGCAAAATTTGAGATTTCTTGAGATCTAACTAGTATTGCAAATCCCTGAAAAGTTGTTTGTAAATACTCATTCCTGAAAGGTTAAATTATTTCTTAAAAATATAGTATTATATGCTACTTACTCTTTTAAAATGCTCGCAAAGTAGTTCACAGATGCACAAGTACTGAAGAAAACCATGCATTTTTCTGATTCTTTAGACAATAAAAATGACAATAATACACTGAATTTTTTATCAGCTTCACAAACCTAAAGAAAATTAGATTGAAACACAATTAAAATTCAGGGCATATGATGAAAAATTTCTTTATAAAAGAAATTGACTTCTTTACAGAAAAAACATAGTATCCTTATCTAAAAACCGGACAGCATTTCCAGTTTTCATACCACTAATTTCTTTAGCATGTCTCTTAGTTTATACACATAAATATTTACATCAGTTTGTTAAATTAAGTTACAGCCATGAGTATATAGATGATATGAAATTTTAAGGCTAATCTAATATTCAGAGGGAAGCAGATTAAAAAAAAATGAACAGACTAATTTTTTCACAATTAATCCTTTTTCTTTGAAGGATAATAGGAGATACAAAATGATACTCAATATGATGCCAACTTACATTTACTTGTGATGTTGAAATATATATTAAGTTATTTAGTTAATATATATATGTAAAAATATATATTTTGATTTAAGTTATGACCATAGAAAATAATTCTCTCTTTTCTGATTACAATAGATTGCTTCTATTACTGCTGTTAAACCTTTTCAGATGGCTGATGCTTATCCATGTCTAGTATTGATACATTATTCAAGTCAGCTATCCACAAAAGGTTAAATGTCCAAAAATAGTTTAGACAACATGATGAAGAATTATTTATATTATATACTAAAAAAAAATGAGACCTGTTTCTCAGACACACCTTGAAAACAGTGCAGAAATTATGTAAACTACGACCCATAGCTTAAATGAGTATAATTTATTTAATATCACTATGAAACAAAAATATGTCCATAAAGAAAAGAGCATTTTAAAAATTTGATTTCTATCAAATGCTGAGCTGCACAACATCTAGATGCATTATACAAAAGAAATATTTTAAATATATTCATATATATGATTTATTCCAGGGATCGGCAACCTTTCACAATGGGCTAACTAAAAATTTTTAATTTTTTGTAAGGACCAGATATAATATGCTTTAAAATATCAACATTAGATGACCATCACAAATTATCTCTTTATTAGCAAAATAAAAAACCTTATAAAAATAACATATAATACAAATACTATAAAAAACAGCAAAAGATAATTATAAGAAAAAATTCTTTAAAAAAAAATTTAATGAGAAGTTCGGCATTGCAATCAGCTGGTCTATATTTCAGATATAGACAATAATTTGCATCCGTTTTTCAATCATATGTCATTTAGCTACGATTGATTGTTACTTTTAATTATTTTCATTGCAGAAAACAATTGCTCCCAAAAAATATCATGATTTTAATTGCATGCATAACTAATTGTGAATTTTGTTTTCTCCAAAATCATAATATTTTGGATGTTTGCATTCTGAGATTTATTTATCAAATCAATGTTGTTTTGCAAACCTATGAATTCCATTAGTAACTCATCCAGAATTGTTTCCACGTCTATATTACATGGCAAGGAAAACACATTAAGGATGGCTTTTTTCTAGTGTAAACATTTTAAATTGCAATTCAAATTTGGTTATTAATTTTCATATTTGTTGGGCATATTTTCATGTTTCTAAACCAGTTTCTTTTCTCAAAATATGGAAAATGTGACATGTTGTTTAACTACAGATGTTTGTTCTAAATTTTGAGTTTGCTTTCAAAAACTTTAATTTTATAAATATGTTATGTATAAACTAGCTTTTTTCTTGAAATTCCATACTTAGTCATTCAGATGCCAAGTTGTATCAATAAGAAAAGCAAAATCACACATTGTTTATCTCTGAAATGGGGAATCTGGGAGTCTTTCGTTTTTACAAACAATTGAATTACATTTTCTAAGCTATATACTCCTTTTAGCATAGCACCTCTACTCAAACAGCATACTTATGTGTTTTATAGAAATTGTGTCACACTTTTGAAAATTCTTTGAATTGGTGATAAATTAATGTTCAAGATTCGAGAAAATTTAATGTGTTTTATTACAGGCATTTGGCATATTTAAAGTTGTTTTACATTCTATTGATGAATTATGAAATGATTAGCAAATATTTCTCTGCCTGGCAAGATTAAAAAAAAATCCTGCAGTTCCTACATTTTGCTTGTCATTGCTCACATTCCATCAATTGATATGCCAACAATCTTTTTATTAAAAAAAATCACTGTTGAGGAATCTATAACTTTCCAGTGGAACTGATTAAGTTCTCCAATAGCAATTTTAAGTTCATTGCACAGGTCTTCATGTATTGTAGTTTCTGTTACAGGTCTTCATCTATTACAGTCCTTGCCATTTGCATAAATGAACCCAGTTCTTCAGTTATATTAAAATTGGAATCGATTCCTCTTCTAAATATCCCTAATTGTGATGTGTCACTGATGTCACAGCTTTCACTTAGTGCCAAGGAACACCATTTAAATCTTCCAATACATTCACTTAAGTTGCAGTAATGTTTTCAAACAAATGCAACTGTAAATCTTGACAAAGTAATTCTGGAAATTTTTTTATAGTTTTTGTCTTTTTTATACAGAAAATCTTATTTTGGCAACAGATTTTAAATATTCCTTAATCCTCTCTCCATCAACAGATGGCTTCACTTTTTCGGCTAAATTTTGACTAACAGCATAACTAGCTTTCACTGCCAAATTTGATGAAATACTTTGAGCTTTACATATATTTTGTTGCTGTCTTAAGCTCTTCTCAAGTTCCTTTAATTTATCTTTCTGCATTTGACATTGGATGCTTTTATAATTTTTGTCATGCCTGTTAATGCCGTTCAATATTATATTCTTTTTACATGGATACTGAATCTGAACATGAAAGGTAAAGAGCTTTATCATTTACAAGAATGAGAAAATAATCCAATTTCCAGTTTTCTTTTCCCCATGTGTAACGTATATACGAGTCAGTTTCCCTTAGAAAGTGATCCCACGAAGGCATCTCTCCCCTTAGGCAGATAGCCCTAGTGTGCTTTGCTTTAATTAAATAAACCAACCAGTTTTCATTAAGACTTCTAGCTTGATCCCAACTTTTCTTTCTTTTTTGTTTGTTTGGAGGAGAATTTTCCATCTGTAAAAACAGGGCAAGTGTTTATACAAAAAAATTGCATGAAAATTAATTTTCAGTTGTTGCAATTAGTTTTTAAATTAAAAAATACTGCCTAGCTTTTTATTACAATGTTGCACTAACAAGTCCATTAATGCTGATTTGTTTTTGTTTGCTTTTTTACTTGAACAGTCAGAAAGTTGCACACAAGGGTGCACGTGCAACACAAAATACACAGAAAAAAATAATACAATTTATGATTTTATTTAAACTTGAAGAACTTTTGTGAAACCAGCAGTTCGTATGATTGTGAATGACTTTCACTATAAAGCACATGCACCCTTCTGTGCAACTCGCTGATATTCCAATAAAATAAGAAAACAACTTGTCTGACATTGCTATAAAAGAGAGCAGTACTATATATTAATCTTATGCTAAAACAGTCTCTTCTCATTCGCTCTGGCAATAGGCCATGCATAATATGCAACTGCAACTGCTGTCGATTTTTCAAATTCTATTCTTGCACAGCATTTGCATAAAACATCAGTGATGATTCACATAAAATAAGATGGCTGACTCACCAAGAAAGAGGATCAGGGAATTTACCCCGAATGGGTGAGGATACTACAGCTCATGAAGTGTCATCACCAAAGATAGGTCATGGCCGGTACCCAGATGATGCAATCAAGCCCAGTGTTTCCTGCACTGTGAATAGAAGGTTAAGAGTCTGAAGGTTATTCTCTTTGATAAGTTACACTGTTATCAGCTACAATGCATGTGCTGAGGAATAAAATAATTTTTAAGCCTTGTCAATTGATAAAATTTAATTTTAAACACCTAAACAGTGTTTCTTCTCTAAACACATGGATTCTAACACTATGAAGCAGACTCTGCTGAACAAGAGATTTAATGGCAACATGAAAAAGTCAGATGGGCAACCTACTGCTCATCTCTAATTTATTCAATACTGCAAATGATTTTTTTACACCTATATTGTTAAAGGTGGGTTATATTACATGCATGTTTCTAGAATTTTCAATTCCAAATGAGTGCAGAACCTTAGACAAAAGGAAAAGTTTACCCAGAAAATAAAATGCCACAAATTCTAAAAATTCATTATCCTTTTTATTATTTATACTATTATTTTATGTATGTTTATACAAGTACTTTTGCAACATGCAATTTTACTCTCTTAGCTAGATCAGCACTATGTAAATGACTGATAAAAATATCATCATTTAAAATGTCATTCAAAACAAAAAGATAGCCATATCAATTCCAGCTTGGTATCAATGAACATGAATTTGCTAAATATAACAGTATTTTAAATAATCTAAAGCTTTAGTGAAATAAAAGGACTAGTAATAAAATGCTGTCAAGTACAAACTTATTGTGCATATAATTATTGATAGTTTCAATCCAGTCACAATCTGTATCAATTATTATTCTTACAAGTTACATTAATATCAATCATATATTTAAAACGTGATATGGTGGCAACCATGTCTTTGTCACTGACATTTATAATCTTTTGTGAAAGCAATAACATAAATGTTGTTAGGCTTAGAGAATTGGTGAATAATAAGCTAGGTTTGTAAATTGCCATTAACACTTTTATATTACTATATACCTTCTATTTGGCACTGATTATGAACAAGAATAAGTGCCAAATAGGAATTGGTACAAATTCCTGTGTCTTAAATGGAAATAATAAATCACATTATTGGCCTTTAACAATTATATTCAAAGTGCAAATATGATTGGAGCTGGGATTATTGATTCTTGGGCTAATAAAACCATTGGAACGGTAAAGTAAGTCATAAATATGAAAATAAATCTTAGCCCTAAAGAATTCTTCTTTCAAAATCACAATGTTTTACCTGTTGATTTTTATCTTACAGGTTTATAATTTTGCTTTTTCTTTTTAATAGCATGTCAGTAATTTTACTTATTACATGCATGTATGCAAATATGAACAGGTAAATTTTTGTTATCTTGGCTTTATATTTTCAGAGGTGGGAAATTGCCAATCAAAAATTTACATATAAGCTTGACCTTACCACCAAAAAATTATATATTAAATTACTGACATAAATACATTTATAAATATTGTGTATTTTTAAAACTTTTTATTAATAATATATTTTCCAACTGAATATTTCAATTAACATTTAATTATTTGATTATTTTCTGCCATTTTTAACCCGCTTATGAATAATATGTCTAAAAATTTTATTTGGAGTCAGTCATAAGACAAAGCAAAAATATGAACATTTTGCATACAATGGAACAAACTGCTGCAGCTTGATGTCTGTCAGATCACTAACTAAAAAGCTTTTTTAAAAGGAAAACTACAAATGCTTCCTAAAGGTATCCATTCTCTAAAGATAATTTTTGATAGCCATGTAAAATTGTCGAACTTCCATGATGGAAAAATTTGGACCAGATATCTTTTTTTTACATTTATTTTAAAACTTAATATATGCTTTCTTTGTTATTTAAAAAGTAATATTACAGCATTTTTACAGCAGCTGAAACACAGCCACTTTCCCAACACATGATGCATCTTACTCGCTCAACATTTCTCAGACAAAAGCCCTTTCTTTTACACTTACCAGCTGCGCCAATGGAAACCGCCCAAGTGGGGGTGTCTTTCACGAGTTTTTTTCCTGATCACTTTCACTAGCCTTTCCTGGCGAACACTGCTGTTCATTCCAAAAAGAAACAGGAAGTTCTCTAATATAAACCTGGTGTTTCTCATAGCCAGCATAAACAAGAAAATTTTGAGGTACCCTAATACACACACACACATATACAACACATACACTGAAGTGACAAAAGCCATGGGATAGCAATATGCAAATATACAGATCGCGTAGAAAATGTATAAATGTGAACTGCTTTGGCAGGACTTTCATTTGTGTTCAAGTTATTCATGTGAAGAGGCTTTGACATGATTATGGCCGCACAACGAGAATTAACAGACTTTGAACGCGGAATGGTAGTTGGAGCTAGACGCATGGGTCATTCCATTTCGGATATCGTTAGGGAATTCAACATTCCAAGATCCACAGTGTCAAGAGTGTGCCGAGAGTATCTAATTTCAAGCATAACATCCCACCATGGACAGCGCAGTGGCCGACCACCTGCACTTAACGACCGAGACCAGCGACGTCTGCGTAGAGTTGTCAATGTTCACAGACAAACAACACTGCATCAAATAACCGCAGAAATCAATGTGGGACGAACGAGGGATGTGTCCGATAGGACAGTGTGGCGAAATTTGTCTTCCTTGGGCTATGCCAGCAGAAGACCGACTCGAATGCCTTTACTGACAGCATGACATCGCCTGCAGCGACTCTCGTGGGCTCGTGAGCATATCGGTTGGTCCCTAAACGAATGGAAAACTGAGGCTTGGTCAGATGAGTTGTTGGTAAGAGCTGATGGTAGGGTTCGAGTGTGGCGCAGACCCCACGAAGCCATGGACCCAAGTTGTCAACAAGGCACTGTTCAAGCTGGTGGTGGTTCCATAATGGTCTGGGCTGTTTACATGACATGGACTCGGTCCTCTGGTGCAACTGAACCGATCATTGACTGGAAATGGATACCTTCAGCTGCTTGGAGATCACTTACAGCCATTCATGGACTTCACGTACTCAAACAACGATGGGATTTTTATGGATGATAATGCGCCATGTCACCGAGCCACAATTGTTCGCGATTGGTTAGAAGAACATTCTGGACAATTCCAGCAAATGATCTGGCCACCTAGATCGCCCGACATGAATCCCATCGAACATTTATGGGACATCATCGAGAGGTCAGTTCGTGCCCAAAACCCTGCACCGTCAACACTTTCACAATTATGGACGTCTATAGAGGCAGCATGGATCAATATTCCTGCAGGGGACTTCCAACGACTTGTTGAATCCATGCCACGTCGAGTTGCTGCACTTCGCCAGGCAAAAGGAGGACTGACAAAATATCAGGAGGTATCCCATGACTTTTGTCACTTCAGTGTATATAAAAAGAGAAAGAGGAAGAATATTTTAAATTTTTAGCTTTTTAGTTATGTACTTAAAAAGAAATTATTTTTCATTTCAATTCTGATATCACTTACAGACTACAATCATAAATACACAGGATTAGCAGATTAAAAATTCTTGAAATGAGATAAGAGTTAAAAAAGATATACTGAGCTAATATTTCGTACAGAATTATTAATTCGTACAGAATTATTAAAATTGTTAGCTTCGAAATACTTTAAAATAAATTTCTATAAAAACATATTTCTGCCTATAAAAAATGTAATTTAGCAAGCAAAAAACATCTTTACTGCAAATGTGGTGTATCTTTGCTGCTAGAAATATTGGCATGTGTCATCTCATTCCCATGAAAAAAATTCCTTCCAATTAACAATTACAAAAGATATTATTAATAAAAAATACATTTGTAACAGGTATTTAAAAGCATTTTTGTAGTAGCAATATAAACGAGCAGCAAACTGTATCATTCAAACAGATATGCAAAAAAAAGAGCATTTTATTTATTATACATGATATATAATAAATTCATATTGTTGTGTATGTAGGATTCATAATATATTGAATGCATACAGGTCTGATGATATGTTTATGTTAGTAAAATTTATCTTTATCAAATGAAAATTTGAAGTTCTGGAATGTTCCACATAAATACTCATACAGGTATTCACAGTATCACACAATACAATCAGTAGTTATGCTTCAAACTACTAAGAACATTAAACACAATGCAATTAAAAGCAAAAGAGAGAAAAAGAGAAAGCTAACCCAGAGATATCTCGGTTCGTCAGTTCACGCTCAACTAACAACTCGTAACGACAATAACTAAACAACTGAGAGCAGATGCTCTCTCTTCGGCTATTATATAGTTATCACCCGGCCGGCAAAATATTTCTAGTACTTTCTGCCTCTTGAAATCACTGGAAAGCAATATGCGGGTTGAACTACAGATGCAGCTAATATAGTGATCAATTACATTTATCCAGTTACAATACCTATTACGGTGATAGAGGGACTGGACAAAAATGTCGCCAAATGTTCACTAAGCTTGGTGACTTTTGGCGATTTATCACCAAATTACCATTTATTCAACGCTAAACGGATTTGCCCCTGTATTCTTACTTTTCAGGCATAGCTTCTCTCTTTAGATTTTTCACATTATATTACACATAAAAATACAATTTCACATATAACTGCACTAAAATCACCTATCTATGTACAAAATTCATAACAATATCATGACCAGATCACATAAATGTGTGTAACAGAGAGATAGACAAAAACATCTATTATTTTTTAAACTGAAATATTTACATTTGGTGCAACATATAAACACATAAATACTGCATTTATATTTCTTATCATAATAAAAGCATGTTTTTTTTAGCAAAATAACTCTAAAAACATGCGAAAACTACCAAAAGGGCAAAGAAAAGAGCTACTTATGGTATCGATTAATTAAAAAATATATGCATGAGATAAAATACTAGATGTTTAAAAAGACTTTTGATAACTTATTTAAACAGGAGGAGGCTACTTTTGTCAGCCTTATCCCTTCAGCCAACCTGAAGTCTGGCTCTGGAAAGCTAACAGTTCTGAAAAAATGCCATTTAAAAAAGGTGTTTTCTTGATCACAGTTCCAAAAGGCAATTACCATATATACCCACGTATAAGTCAAGATATTTTGGACAAAAAAAAAAGACTTCAAAGTGGGGGGTCGACTTATACGCGGGGCCATAAAAAATTAAAAGAATCGGAAGTTCAAAAATTTCTTTATATAATGCAGTTATTTTCTTCCCGCACTCAAATTGGACGACTTAGCCCACGCAATAACAGAACTGTTTTGAATATTTCTTTTAACTTTTAAAAAGGGAAAATGCAGATAGATTTTACGTATGCGAATCTTTTCCCGAACAATTTAGAAGGTTACATATACGATATTTTTCCTCAATTATCCTGCGTTTGGATTCCGTAATTCCAGGAGGATTGACATCCGTCATCACCCTAGATGTCTGCCTCAATAAGTCCTTCAAAGTAACTGTTAGAAAATATTGGGCAGAGTGGATTAGTTACGGTCGACCAACATTTACAAAGGGAGGCAACATTAAAAAGCCCAATATTACATTAATTACTCAGTGGGTAAAGATGCTTGGAACGAATACCCTATGATGATATAAATCATTTAAAAATGTTGATTACAATGAACTAGACAACCGGAGATGATGCTGTTTTTGAAAGTGAAAATGACGACGAAGGTCTAGTAGTGATTGAAAACAATACATAGTTCGACTGAAATATGTATGATGACGCCAATGAGGACAGAGAGTTCTATGAATGTTTGGCGCGAATCTGACCATGAATCGGACTTGAAGGCTTTTGATTTGTTTATTACAAGGTATTTTTATCGTATATTACTTTTTTTCTCATGATTTTGAAAAGTAGTACTTAAAAAAAAAAAAAAAAAAAAATGTTTCGAAGTTTCTCGATCGATTTCGGAAGTGGGGGGTCGACTTATACGCGGGTATATACGGTAATTGTCTTTTCATATCAGGACTCTTTCTCTTCAAATAAATATTCTTAATTGTTTGGACAACTTTTAAGATGCATGTACCCACAATTACTTAAGAAGTAAGTGTCAATAAAAATATTCTTGGATGTATATACATGGCCCAGTTAGTTGGACGGGTTAATGAAAGTGCAGGCTTCTCAAATAAATATATTTACATAGGAAAAAATAATAGTTTCAGATATACCTTCATAACATATTTAGCTTACCATATAAAAGTTTGATAGTGTTGATGGTGTTCTTTGAACAGCATTTGCATCAACACATTTTTCTTTCACTGATATGCAAACAGGGTTTCTCATACCAGCTCTGATAAGATCTTCCATTTCTTTAGTTTGAGTTGCTGAAAATAAGCCAGTCTGGCGCTGTTTTGGAAGGTAGCCTAATATAGTATTCAATCTAAAAGCCCATAAAATTAAACATTTTATTTAGAAAATGCATAAAATAGGAATAAAAATCCATTCAACAGTAAATAAATAAAATGAAATACATATACACATACAAATGAATATTAATTTTAAAATAAATAGCGACATATACAAAAGAGTAAGTTTACTCTTGCAGCACATGTTTATCAAAATATTGTAATTTAATGTGAATAAAAATGTTCAAAAAGCTAATTTAAGTTCGTGATATCATGGCTAAATAAATTTCTTTTTAAAAAGAAAAGAAAAACAAACAAATAAAAAAGAGAAAGAAATTATATAAATTATGTAATTAAAAAGAATGCCTTTAACAATCAGTTTTTTTTAAGGGAAAAAAAAATGAGCTGCATTATTGTGCATTCTAAAAAGTGGTAATTCTCATCATTTTTAAGTTACTTGGTCCTGTTATAATAACCACTCATTATCGCAAATATTCCATTACAATGACTGGTGTAAAAAGTTCCCAGCAAATGAAAGCATATTAAACCACTATTATTCAAGCAACTCTTTGTTGTAACATTCTTTGCCTTTGGGGTGTGAAAGTTCATTACAACAAATGTTGACTGTATGTTCAAAACTGAAACTAAGCAAAGAGTTAATCAATTCAATGACTGTAGTATAAAATGAGGAAAGGAAATTGTGGTTAAAACGGGAAAGAGGAAACTGAAATTTAAAAAAAAAAAAAAAAAAAAAAAATTCTGTAATTTGCTTTTTTAAATGATATGGAATTTCTTTTAAAGAAACATGCAAGAATCTTTTAGAAAGACTTTTATCACTACACAATGCATTAAAACTGCATCAGCAGTCTTAAAATTTATATAATCATCTTCTTGATAATATTTTTGAGATATTTAGCTAATCAGCATATTCTTGTAATTAAGGAATTAATCATAATTTTTATATTACTGGTGATAACAAAAAAATTCATTTTCGTATTTTTAGTTAGGTAGTTTATGAAGCTTAGATTAGATTAACCTTCAAAGCTCAGCTTGAATGTGAATGTTTATAATATCGCTCTTTGAATGGTGCAATTCAAAACACTTTTTCCTCTCTCCCTTACTGTTCTCTAACGAGAACTCATTTTCTCAGTGACCTTTTGTCCCCTTCATGAAGATAGAATTTACATGGTTGTCAGATGCTCTTCAATAGTCTTACTATGCAGTTGTTGTAATTGTGACTTTTCTCAATATTGATTTTCATTTAATATTAACTAGCCTCAATTACTTACTTTGGTATCATGAACTAAAGTTGAGCACTTCAGAAAATATAAAAGTTATGCACATAGACACACCAAATTTAGATATCCCAGAAAAAGAGTAGTTTTTGTAAAGTTTGCATTCTAATGATCTGACAAAGGCATGCATTTTCCTGTAGCTCTACACACATCTTGAAAAATGCCTACCATTAGTAGGCAACTGGCATCAACCACACCTCCCAAAATATATTCCCATTTATTCTACAATTTCTAAAGTTATTTTTGTTCTGAATAGTTATACATAATAAAGTCTGTAAGCTTCCCCATTATTTAATCCTTTAATGCACCAATTAAAAATTCAGTAAGTAGTCATTTTCCCACCAATATTTTATTCTTTATTTTAAGCTAATCTCTTGTAAACTCTTTATTTTAATTCAAAACTTTAGCAGATATATAGTGTTGTGTTCATATCTTAACAAAAAAAATCTTGAACTTATAAAATAATTTAGTTTGGTACCCAAGTTAACTCGGCTGAGTGTATCAAGAAGTTAAATGCCAAAAATGATCTGAAGTATTTTCATTGTAAATATAATTTTCATAAACTGTGATAAGCAAAAAGTTACCTGATACTTCTAAAAATACACCTGGAAATGTATTTTCAAATATTTAAATCTTCAGTTTCAAATGGTAATGCCTACAAGTTAAATGGGAAAAAACTATGTGCAATTATTTGATGATTCATCAAAGACTTACGTTTTTTCAAAGCCCAAATCAAGTAACCTGTCAGCTTCATCAAGAATAAGTACCTCCTATCAAAATAATATATTTTTTTTATTTACACAAAAATTTAATAGTAAAATACTTAATTAAAAACTGTATAACAACAACGTCTAGTAGAAATATTACATTCACCACAAATATACAATAATATCTGATAACAACCATATAAAAAGTATGAATTAAAAAAGAAACTATGAACCATTTTAATTATATAGTTTAGTATTATTTTTTTCTCACACAAACTTAGGCATCATTTTAATAACAATCTCATGCAGTATGAAAAGCATCATTATAAAGTTATATAAGAAAATTATATTGCAAAATTCTCACAATAAAAAATAAGATATTAATTAATATTCTGCTTCTAAAAACTTTGGTGTCAAATTTTAAACTTTTGATACATTGATGTATTGCATCCATATTTACATCAGTAATACTAAATCCACCTTTTGATTTCAATAACTTTGTTGCTGAATCAATTAATATGTACGCCAAAGTTGTTTCAGATACTGATTCCAGTATAATAAAATCATTCTTCTAGGCACTCTTCTGTTATCCAAGACCGGATTCAGAAATGTATATATATTAATAAATTTCTGAATCCAGTCCTGATAACAGAAGAGTACCTTCTTCCGGCTTATTATTTTTTGCAGACTGTTAGAGCAATTTTATAAAAGTAAGCTTGAACTTATGTCAAAAAGAATTTCCGATTCTGGAGCTGCCAAAGGATCTACAAAGCAAAAGCATGTTTTGATGTCCATCAAACAAAAAGTGGAATTGCTGCAAAAAATGCATAAAGGCATATCCTTTGTTTTTCTAACCATTCCGAAATCTGTTTATCAATTTCATGCTGCTCTGATGGGGGGGACGTCGCGGTATGTAAAGTTTGTCAGCACTATCCTTATCTTCAGGGCAGATGTTTTTATTTTATTCAGCTTATAATTCCTTACTAAATGTAGTATTTCATCTCGATGTACTCCTTTGATATAATTTAAATCAAATTCCTCGTCATTATAAATATCACGAATACACATCAAATAGTCTTCTGGTTGCAATTTTCTAATTTTGACTATGATTAATGTATGCTTTACGCATGCGCGCGTTGAAAGAAATGTTTAATAAAGTAAACAAATAAATATTAAGCTTTTTTTGTAAATTTTGATACCTTTTAGATCATAATTGCTCTTTATTTCATAAATTACGGTTTCATATTTTTAATTTTATAATTTCTGCACGCCCTCTTACCAGATTTAAACTGATGATCTATAATCCAGAAAAACCGATAATCCGGAATCGCTGAAGTCCCGACGAGTTTGAATTAAAGACTTTTGGCTGTATTCTACATATTTGTTTACAAGTGGAAAGAGTATAAAACTACTATTCAAAATCTGGTGTATTAACAGTGAATTTTAACACAAATTCTTGTATACACATAATAAAACCACAGATACGTTTATCTTTCTCTTGCAATCAGATTTAGTTAATTTAGATGTTGCATGATATTAACATGAAAGTCCTGGATGCCCATTCTAGGCTACGAGAGTCGGCAGCAGTTTGTGGGCCGCCAGATGTCCCTGCTAGTGAAAAACAGACCTACCTGACATCCCATATTCTCTGAGTACGGAAGTCGTCAGAAGAGGAGAAAGTGTTTTCCCGTCATCAATCAAGCTTGTCCAGTTGATGTTCTAAGTAGATAATGGCCTTTGTATGTGTTTTTGTATTTAATCCTAATCTTTTTGTATTTAAATGAAGGCCCCTAATCTTTTTGTATTTAAATGAAGAATATGGTCATAGATCTCTGAATTGGTAGCGAGTTTATAGAAAATTTGTTGATGCTTTTGCTCTGCCAGAAGATGTTTTCATTGCGTATTTCAGATTGCCAAAATTTATAGTTATTTTAATTTGCAATGAACTGAGAGAGTATTTGGAGCTGCATTCAGAAAACAAGAACACGATTTCTACTGAAAGAAAGGTTATTTATACTATTCCTGAAATTATAGATATAAATTGTAATTATATGCTTTAAAAATGTAGACGATAATAAATTTATCAAGCATATAAACCTTTTTCATTTAATATAAATATAGAGATCAGATAAGCTTCTATTTGATTTATGTACGGCAAGAATTACGTTTATTCTAAAATCTAACAATTGAATACTTTACGAACAATACTGTGAACACAAAAAGGAATGTTGTTCATTATTACACGAAACTCACACTACTGTAAAATAAAAATGAAAAAAAAATTACAAAACTATAAAATAGTTTTATAATATTTTTTCAGTAGCAGTACTACTACTGGTGTGAGACTTTTAAAAATAATTTTTAGCCCAGAAGAGCTATTAATTTCGTTTTGCCATTTTATGGCATTCGTTTCACTTTTCAAATTGTTACTACCAAATATTATCGCACTGTATTATTATATTTACAGAAATTAAATAATGAAGAATCTGCATAAATGTATGAATGTTTCTCGCACAGTGATAAAACAACGGTACCTGGGGCCATTAAATTTTGAATAACATAATCCTCCATCCTGATATAGGCATGTGGAGGCCCAAATTTGGAACTGGGAATTTGTTTTATTATCTACTTCATATTTTGTAAAGCATTTATGAGTGTTTGATTAATAAACTCAAAATTTCAAAGTGAGCAATGGCAACATTGTACAGGAAAAAAAAAATGGAAAAAAAAGGAGGAAAAAAACCATTTTCATCTCTACCGCGTGAGACTATGTATCGAAAATTCTAAAGATATGCTCTTTTTAAATTACATGATATTGCTGTTGAATTGAATTTTATGGTGAAAGTGCAAAGAACATGATATTTAATAAATAAAGGTAGCACGCAAAACGTAAAAAAAAGGGCCCTTTGGGAGTAATATAAACTCTGAAGGCTTTCAGATTTTTTTTTTTTTTTTTTTTTTTTTTGGGTGTGTGTGTGTTTGTGTAATTTTATTACGATTTAAAACTGGTTTCTAAGGGAGGACTTTCTGAGAGAAACTGGCTCGTATACACATTACACATGGGGAAAGCCATGAAAACGCCCATGCAGCTAGCTCGTTCGCGGGATTCGAACCTCGGACCAAACTACCTGCGTTCAGCGACTCTACCGCTTGGCTGCTAGTGGGTTTATTAGCAGAATTATACTGCATTATTATTGTATTATGCTATAAAGTAACTATGCTATAAGACTGATGGTTTGTTCATGGAATAGTACTTTTGTAATCTATTAGTATTAAAAAATCATTGTATCTTTGCAAATTAAAAAAAAAATACTGTTCGTAGCAGGGTTCTTATTTTTATATTGTAAAAGAGATATTGATTATTATTAATTTTCTATTTAATGTGTCAAAACGCTGGTTGGACAATGACTTCAACTGCAGGAGATGTATACTGATTATTTTTACTTTTGTACTTGCATTGTGAAAATAATATAACTATCTTTTAATTATTTTCACAGAATAAAATCTTTTGAGAAGAAAGAATACTTAAAATAAGCAGTTCTTATATATCTGAGAAATTAAAATAAAAGCAATGTAATATTTAAAAAAAAGTATTAGTGATTGTCTGACAAAAATTGCAATACAAATTAATCACGCATACAGGATAGATTAGTATAATTTTGGTTATAAATTTTATATTGAAAAAATATTTTCTTTCATGTTAATCATAAAATAAATTACTTAAAACAAAATATTTTGATGCATGTGCAACATTTGAAGGAACATTAAGAAAGAAATATTTTCTCTCTAATTTCTTAGTTAAAGAAATATTTTTCAAATATTAACTGTAAAATAAATTGTGTGGAAACACAGTTTTAATGTAAGTATGAAAAAAAAAAACTTAGTTTGCTATTAGATTATAATGCAAATTAATCATTTTATAAATTTAAATGATTAAAATTGTTTATTTCTAAAAAGATTTGAAGTAAGCTTAACTCAATAAGCTAGTAATTTTGATTCTATGGCTCTTATCTATTTACCGTTGCTTTCATGATATCCCATATCACTCTTTATTTCTTAGCCCTAAATTCCTGCATTAACTTCCCCCTTAAAAAACGAGATTTTCCTTCACATCACACAGCAGATTATTCTGCTGCATGTTGGTCATAATACTATTTTTTTTTTTTTAAAAAAACTACAAATGCAACGTGTGAGTTAGTGAAATAATGGGAGAATATTCCTAGAACTTAAGCCAGCGTGTACTATAAATTTCGTCACTCGTCTGTACTGTGATTGGTCTAAAGCTCCTTGAAGCCTTGTCCTCTTTCAGTAAAGTCAAATGGACTCACCCGCCGACCAACTGAGGACCACAGAATGGCTTTCTCTGATAAGTTGTGATGGCTATCCATACCGTTTTTTTTTTTTTTTAGTCATTATTGTTCGCTTAAGTTGTAGATGGATCCAATGATCCTAGAATAGGCGTCCAGGGTAGACCATGAAAAAGTAGTTCACCTCTGGTGAAACTATGACATGATGAATGAGCAAAAGGATTCTTTTTATTCTCTTATCTGCAAGTTGCAACAAATGAACATGATTTCTATCCCCTTCGCGCCGACTGTCACGTATACGTGCCAGCAATGAACACACTTACCTACCAGCCGACACGCAGGCGTGCCAGAGCATTTTTGCATTTACTACCGACTGTCACGTATTTGTGCCAGTACCCTGGAACGTTTTTCAAACTATAATTTCTGCCACAAGATGGCACTGTATGTCCATATGGTTTCAGATACATGTACATTAGACCTTCTACTCGAAATGAGAGAAGCATGACTCACATACACGTGTTTTTGATTATATAAACAAACGGGGAACTAAATGTTTCCAAATGGCGTGATTTATGACGTCTCTTTAAATCGCACTTTATTCGCACGTGGTAGTTGCTTATTGTAAGTAGAAGTTTTATATGCGCTAAAGCGTTGAGTATTTCGGTTTACAGAATAATTAAATCTTGTTAGGCGTAAATTCTTTCTGTTTTTACCGTTTCAATGTCGAAGCATCGAAAATGTTTAACAGAGCATGAAATAGCAGAAATGATGCAAAATATTTCAGATATTGATTCTGAAATTCTGATATTCTGATATTGATTCTGAAAGATTAACTGAAAGACATTTTCCAAAACTTTGTTCAGAAGAGACTGATAAGAAAATGAGACGACGATGCTTCGTTTGTTCACATTTCCGGAAAAATCCTCCAAAACGGCAAATGAGTTATTACGAGTTCAAAGAATGTAACGTAGGACTGTGTGTAGATCCCTGTCTTCAAATTTTTCATACGAAAAGAGAATTTTAATATATTTAGTTTTCCGATGTATAATGTTAAAAGTCATAAAATGGTGAGTAATTAAAATAAAATGTGTAAAATATGCATTTAAACAAGAAATAAGGTAATTAAAGTATATATATATAAATATCTATAAAACATAAGCTGTTTAAATACTCTATAGAGCATTATTAAACAATGCGTTGATACTTCGGAAATTTCATGGATTTAGGCTTAGTAGCAAAAAAGCCCCCGGCCCTGGAGAGACGCTCGCGGAAGACACTGCCAGCCTCCGCAATAACCGCGCGTTTTCGCTACCTGGCTCGAAGGGGCTATATTTATAAACATCTTCCAAATTTATGTTCATTCCAAATAAAATTCTCCCATTTTTCATGATTTTTTTTAATTTGTATTTTTCAACAATTTTTTTAAATTATTTGAAAAAAATTTAAATTATAAACCATAAAATTTTTACCATCATCTTAAAGTAGGTGTATTCTAAGCACACCTACAAAAAATTAGACTTTTTACTCAAAATTTCTTAAGATATACATGAATTTATAGAATGGCACATTTTGAAATTAGGCACATTTTTTATAAGTGATAATAATGCCAAATGTGATTTATGCACTTTGATAAAATTATTTTAAATTATGAATGATGCTCTTTTTTTTTTTTTTTTTTTTTTTTTTTTGCTCAAGTTGAATGAAAAAAAGGAAAGGACAATAGGTTGCTATAAATTAAGACGTTTGCCAAATGAATTATTCTTGCTGCAAACTGAAAAAAATGTGCCTAGATAAATTTTTAAATTTCTCCATAAATTAGTCACCAAAAATTACAAAATTTAATACCTAGGCATAATTTGAGTTGTACAATCAAAATATGAAAAAAAATTGGTATGTTATTTCAGAAAACGTCTGATTTTGTGTCAAAATACCTGTGTTAAAACAATGCTAGATATAAATCTAAAACAATGCTAGATATAAATCTTAAGTCGCACTTTCAAGACACAGAAATGCAAGTTAAATTTCAACAATCGGTTCAGTAGAACAGGAGATACAGATATGTTCTTTTTTTTAATTATTTATTTATTTTGTGTGTGTGTGTATGTACAAGGTATACAAAGAAAAACTCAATAAGAAAGCTAGCAATGCAGGAATACTGCTTTATTTGATGATTCCAAATCTCCAGACTGAAGGATTGGCACAGACAGCAAAAGGATATAAATCTCCCCAAGGAGTATGACATCAGTATTAAAGGTGAGTTACATGTGTCCCAATGCATACAAATTTAAATATCATTTGTTTTAAATCATTGATAAATGTATATTTTGAACAATCCCTTAGATTGAAGAAAACTTTGAGCAGCAGTGAATAATTTAATAAACATTTGTAATGCTCTTTCAGAGTTTAACCAGCTGAAGTGTCCGTTGTTCCTTCTCCCATCCCTCCTTTCACTTTCTTGGTTGGCAAATACACCCCCTCCCTTGAAAATATGTTCATTTGCAAATAAATGATTTTTATTGACAACATTGCAAACAGAAATTGAGCTATTATTTTTGTTTAGTAACAAGATAAGATCATCAAACCACAGAAAAAAAAAAAAAAGAAATGAATTGTTGCAGAAAGGATAACCTTAAGTACCTCGAAACCATCTTGAAAGGATAATTTTCACAGATTTCACAATTTACATGAAAACTTGAGTCTTAAATTTTAAAAGGAATTCCAGTAGTGGTATTTTTAAATGAACACACATACTAATCTACACTTTGATAAAATTTGTTCTTTAAAAAATGAAACAGGCTCAATGTATGTACAGTAAAATACATTTAACGCCAAAACGCTTAAGGCAAAATATTGGCTAACATGAAATAATACAACGGTCCTGACAAAGTACTATGTATTTTTATGCACTTTTTTTTTTCTTGTAACACAAAACGAAAATCGCTTAACATGAAAAAATTTCCCTTCTAAGAATGAACAAAGTACGGAAAACACCAGCAGCGCAGTTGAGATGAGAGGTAGTTCCACATGTTTCGTAGAAAGGAGGCTAACTTGGCTTTGAAATACCCTCGGAATAACCTGTGACATGAGCCAATTTTATTCACCTAAGCTACTCTCACCCTCCATCCCTACAAATACCACACAAAAACACCTCATCTCTCATCAATTGGCTTTTGAATTCAGTGACGAGTACATCGCAGTGTGTGTAAAAATCAGTGAGTTTGGTTTGTGTGAAAAGAAATGGAGAAGGAGGATACTGAAACTGAGCTGACACTTAATGTTTGAGAAAGTTTCTGTATTATTGAACTGTCCTATTGTATTATTCGAGTAATTCATTGCAGTAGATGATGATAACGTGTGTACAGCTCCAATTACGACAGACAAAGCCAGTTTGGAGTTTGTTCAAAACTGAAAAAATATCATTGATGCAGATTCCGACGACGAAAATGAAATGAATAATACAGTTCCTGTTCACATGTCATCCAAAATGAGGAACATCATGAAAAGTATGTGCAGTTATTTAGACGCACATTCCAATGAAATGAATAACAAAATGGCAATATGTTGACAATTTGATGCTAAAAAAGACAATGCAAAGAAAAATATCAGATTATTTCCCCAAAACTAAATAAATAGTTTGTTTTTCAAAAACTTGAAAATTTTGTATTAAATCAAGTTGAGGATGTTTTTGTTTCATTGATTTTATTAAATACATGCATATATATATGCAAATAAAATGTACTCTAATAAACTTAATTTTTTTGGTTCCCCTCCTCCCCCCCTCCAATATCCTTTAACATAAAATTCTTTTAACACGAAAAAACACTTCAGTCCCTTCAATTTCGTGTTAAACAATTTTCACTGTACTTTAAAACTCTGGGCGGCCATTGGTTTCACTAAGAAAGCACAAATTTCCCAAAACTATTATGAGAAAAAATTATTTTTTTGATTTTAATGCAAAAACTCTCCTGGTATTTCATACTTGGATTTGTTTTCTTTTGATATATTGCCTTAGTTTCGTTGACATATTTTAATATGCACGTATATATATGCTCTTACAGATATCGCAATAAATATTCTAGGCCGTATATATGCGGCTTTGCTGCTTAGAGGGTTAATACTCAATATTCATATTTCAATGTAAAATTTCAAAAGCACAATAAAAAATTACAACTCTTACCAAAGCTTTAATGCAAGCAGAAAGTTTTATTTCTGTATTCTGACTTAAAATATCAGCCAGACGTCCCGGTGTAGCTATGATGATGTTACACCTAAAATATACATTGAATTTTTAAATATATACATCAAATTTAATGCATTAAATCTAAATCAGAAACAACTGAATGCAATAAAAAAAAATTAATATGTTCAGTCTTTGAGAAGTTTTTATCGAAGGGAGAATTAAAAGAGAGAATAAATGAAAAAGCAAATCATAAGGCAGTAAAAAAATTCAATATTATAATGAGGAGAAAAATGAAGGAAATTAACTGAATATTTTTTTCTGTGGAGTTATTGTACAGGGTGTCAAATAACCCATGCCAAAAATTTGAAAAATAATAGGGCATATGATCATAATACAAAAGTTATTTACAGTTCTTCAAAACACAGATTTGCTACAACTATATAAAAGTTTTATGACACTGGCAGAAATTTTCATTGTTGTCAGTGGCAATGTTTCTTCTTTGCTGCACAATATGCATGTGTGCTCACCATAATGCATTTTTTTTTTTTTCCCCTTTTGCAGAGACTTACTACAGACTACTTACTTCCCATTTTTATTGCCTGCTCACTGCTGATGTCTGGCATCAGCTCATGAGTTAATTTTAAATGTTTAGCCTCTTGTAAGATGTGCTTTCCACTTTTTTAAATGTTAAATAATTGTTTTAACCTTTAGCTAAAGTTTATGCCTTTCTATTGACATTCTGTTGGAGTCTAATGGTAATAAACCATTGCCATATTTTGGTGACCTAAAGTATGAAATGTACTGGTACACTAGGCATTGCAGCTACACCTGCCTTGAAGACTGATTGTGATTTTGACCATGATTTTATATAGAAGACACCTCTCCAGTTATAAAATCTTGTGCTCCAGAACTTCTCTTGGAGTATACTGCTGGAGAAAGTTTTTGAGCAATCTAGTTAGATTTTGTGATTTCATTGCAGCAATGCATTAATATGAATGATCCTCAAGAACATTTTGGTGAAGGTTTTCATCAGTTTGTGAGTCAGTGTTGAAACTGGATTACTCTTCTAAATTATTGGCTTTTTCAATGCAGGTAGAATTAATTATTTTTTATGATCGTTTTTAAGAATTTAGGAGTAAGCATTTTTCAAATTTTTGAATAATTTTTAGAATATCTTTAAAATGTTTTTTTTTTTTTTTTTTTTTTTTTTTTTTTTTCCAGAAAATATTTTTTATTGTGCATTCATGGAATTCACTAGAATATTTTTTCTTACTGATAATTTGTACAATATATTTGTACAAGTTAACCATTTTACATTTCATTAATATACATGTATTTTTTATTCTCATGTGTATCCCTAATGGTTATAGATGTGTGAGAGGTCTTCTGTCCTTTTACACCATGCTTTAGTATTGATATTTTTCTTGTGTTTGCAATTAGAATCATATATCTTTTCTAACCTTAATAGTCATGTTGTTTAACGAAACATCTATTGATGATTTTCCAACTGAGAATACAGCAGCTAAGTAGGTATCACATGTTTCAGTAAAATTACCAACTTTTTGGAAAATAAGCCCTGTATTACAGTTGTTAGATTGGAATCTCAGTTTTCCCTTTCCAATATCACTTTGAATTTAACAAAATTTAACCATATTGCTGGTACTGTGGATTCTGGTATACTTATTTATGTTAAAGATTCATTCTAAAACCTCTTAGAACTAGAAAATATGATATCTTAAAGCAAAGCTTGATTGAAATATATTCTGAAAGTGAAGCATCAAAAATTCATAAAGGTCTTGAGATTGGCGACCAGCATCCTTCTCAGTTGTTGACTCAAATGCACGCTTTAGCAGGGGATACCATAGGTGAACCTTTGTTAAGTTTTTTGTGACTTGCAAGACTCCCCAATAATACATAATCAATTCTGGCTGCTCTCGGTGAAGATAATTTGAGTAAATTGGCTGTGGTCACTGATACGATAACCGAGTTTGCATCTCACTCTTATGTAAATAGGGTTGTCATGATCCTTCAGCAAGTGAATCTGTTACAACTCATATGGAACTTCAAGTAGCACAACTGACAAAGCAAGTTGGTGAGTTAACCCCTGACTTGGGATGTAAATCTCACAATCCTCAGCACAATTTTCAGCATTTGAGTTGGCACTGTAGGTCAAGCGAAGACATTAATCACTATAAAGAGTGAATAGACAACCTTTGTTTCTATCATGTAAATTTTGGTGAGTGTGTAAGGAAATGCCCGTCTCCATGTTCCTTTCGTAAAACAAAAATGTCAAATCGCTTGCTGTCCAAGGTGGTGGCGGGTGAAACATATACTTTTGGTCAACCTTTTTGTCTGAATTAAAATATTTAATTGATATTGGAGCAGATGTGTTGATAATACCAAAAAAAAAATATGCTCAGCATTCTAGGCCTTCTCAAGATTTGGTTTTTTTTGCCATGAATGGAACTAAGATTTCCACGTTTGGCACTAATATTTGCCCTTTAGATTTAAATATTTGTCGTACCTTTACTTGGTTATTTGTTGCTGCAGATGTAAATCAGCCAATTTTGAATGCTGATTTCCTTAAAAAATATGGATTACTTGTTGATGTTGCTTATAATTACATTATCAATTCCGGGACTGGTTTGTTATCGCGCGGCAAATTGTTTAAGAGTTCGTTTGATTTTGGCATATCTGTATTTCTTGGTGACTTTAAATTTGATAAATTGCTAGCTGAGTATCTTGAGCTCACTACTTCTTCTTATATAACCAACAATAATCAAACTTCAACAATTTTCCCTTCTACGTTCAAGTTTCCCCTGTGTTTTCAAAACCTCATCCTTTGTTTCCGGATATACTCAAGGTGACACGGGCTTGAGTACCTCATGTCACAGGGAATCATTTGGGCATCCAAAAGTGCTTGGGTACCCTCTTCACATGGTCCGCAAGGCTAATGGTGACTGGCGCCCTTGCAGTGACTATCGCCACTTGAATGCTTTGTTTATTCCTAACCGATATCCCATACATATCCAAGACTATACACACTTTTTTTTTTTTTTTTTTGGAAAAAATATTTTTTTAATACTTGATTTAGCTAAGGCATACCATCAAATCCTGTTAATCCAGAGGATGTGCTCAAAACAGCTGTGAGCACACCATTTGGATCATTTGAATTCCTTAAAACCCCATTTGTTTTGCAAAAAACAGGCCTAACATTCCAAAGATTTATTAAAGTATTTCCTGGCTTACACTTTTGTGTCCCTTACTTTGATGGTTTGCTTGTGGCTTCAGCAAATGAAGACAAGCACGAGAGCCACCTCTGTTTGATTCTTGATAGAATACAAATATATATATAGAGAGAGAGATTAAAACCAAATCCTTCTAAATATATTCCGAGAAAGTCATCATTGTCTATTTAATTACCCCTTCAGGTGTTAGGTCTCTTCTTGAAGGGGGGGTGGGGAACTACAATTAATTTCTGACTTCCCTAAACCTGCAATATGTCTGAATTAAAGAGGTTTTTGGCAATGTTGAATTTTTATCGACAATTTTTGCCTAAGGCAGCTACTACCTCAACTAAGCTTCATTCTCTTTTAAAAGATTCTAAGAAGAATGATTAACATCCTGTTCCTTGGAAGTGGAAACAACTGCAGCCTTCAAAAAATTTAAAACTGATCTAACAAATTCAGTAACACTTGGTTACCATGTCCCTGGTCAACAGTAGTCATTAATTGTCGATGCCTCAGATGTGGCTATTGGAGCTGTTTTGCACTCATAGTGCAATAGTGGCCTTCAACCACTGGCTTTTTTCTCCCAAAAATTGACTCCAGTTGAAACTAAGTATACAATAGGAGAATTACTCCCTATCTACTACACTGTAAGGCTTTTTCAACACAATCTTGAAGGTTAAATTTTTACTATATATACAGATCATTGCTCTCTAATACTTTTGTTTAGAAAAAAAAATCAGATACAGCATCACCCAGGCAGACTGGGCATATGAATTATATTGCCCAATTCAGTATATAATATGTATAATATGTTCATATATAATATGTTTCTGGACTGAAAATATTGTAGCAGAAGGCTATTAATAAGGTGAATATAAAAGTTTTGTACAGATTGCTGAATTTCAACATAATGATATCAACCTGAATCATCTGTTGTTTACTGGAAGTAGCTCATTAAAACTACAAAAAGTGAAACTGTCTCTGATTGGCTAAATATATATATCATGATGTATGTGGTGACAAGATATGTCCCTTTGTTCCCAGCCAATTCTGGACTAGTAATCCATCGCAGCCCTTCGCTGTTACCTAGTCAACATTTTGAGATGTGCATTTGATACAATAGGGTTCCTGTCACATTCGGAAGAATACTCCTACCTTTTATCCCTCATCAACTGATTTTTAGATATGTTGGCTATCAGTTGATGATTTTTCATCAACTGATAGCCGGAAGCAATACCTGTGAAGGATATTTCAGCTGAAACTGTTCCTTGAACATTTTTCAATCACTGGATTACTAGGTTTGGAGTTCTCATCATCAAAAGTACCAATCAGGGCTGACAAATTTGAATCCCACATGTTCACTACTCTTAATAACTCGGACTACCCCATACTATCCTGAAGCAAATACATTACTTGAGAGATTCTATTGCTCACTGAAACAGGCGTTGATGTCCAGTGGATGGTGAATCTTACAATTATACTTCTTGGTCTTTGATCAACTTGCAAAAAATTATCTGTGTGGAACATGTTCGGAGATAGCGTACAGAACTACTATTTGCCTTCCCGCAGAGTTTCTATAATCTATCCAGGTTTCTAATTATGTTGATCCTGCTTCAATTTTACATAATTGTGTACGGCAATGAGAGAAATGTCTCCCAATTCTCCACATCAGCTCATGTTAACAATAAGAATTTCGTGCACTCAATTTTAGAGTCATGCACTCATGTGTTTGTGAGGTACGATGCACCGAAACCACCATTGACACCCGTACAATGGCCCATTTAAAGTAATAAAAAGGCTTAATAAAAATTTTATACTTCTCATTGAAGGAAAGGAACCAATGTAGGCATCAACTGCT